TTAGGGTTTAGGGTTTAGAGTTTAGGGTTTAGGGTTTAGGGTTTAGGGTTTAGGGTTTGGAGCGTTTGCGTGTGCAGCTACCGGGGAGGCGTGACGAGCGCCTTGTCTTCTATAATTCGAATGGCCCTCGAGGAAATGAGCGGCTCGAACAAAGCAGCAGCTTGCCTCTCCGTCTCCAGCACAATTGCTGCTGCTGCTGCTGCTGCTGCTGCTGCAGCAGAAGCAAGCGCACCGGCAGCGGCACAAGCACCAGCAGCAGGAGCAGCAGAAAACGCACCAGCAGCAGCAGAAGCACCAGCGGGAGCAGCAGCAGCAGCAGCAACACCTGCAGCAGCAGCAGCAGCAGCAGGTGGGAGGTGCGTGGAAGTGTTTGGGGTGGTGCTGGTGGACCCTTGCTGCTGCGCTGCTGCTGCTGCTCAGATGAGGGCTTTGCTGCTGCTGCATGCAAAGGCCCCCAAGGGCTTTTTGGCTCTCCACTTCGTAACTGCCAGCTGGGCCTACGCGTCTGTCCTCGAGGTGCCCCAAACCCTAAACCCTAAACCCTAAAGCCTAAACCCTAACTGGGCCCTGGGGCCTTCCGTTCTTGCTGGCTGCCGCAGTGTCTCTGTCTCTCCGCTGTCTCTTTGCTTTCTTTCTTCCTTTTTACATTTCCATCTTTTTATTTTTTATCTTTTTATTTTTATCTTTTTCATTTTCGACCTCTTTGTCTTTTTATCTTTTAGTTTTTTGTCTCTATCTTTTTGTCTTTTATTTCCTTTCTTTTCTTTTTGTTTTTTATCTCTTCCTCGATCTGGTGCCTCTTTCCACTTAGCCCGGAGCAGCTAGCTAGGTAGCTAGCTAGCGGCTAGCTAGCTGGCAGCTAGCCAGCTAGCCAGCCAGCAGCTAGCCAGCTACTCAACAGCCCGGCCAGCCGGCTAGCTATCTAGCCAGCTAGCTAGCCAGCTAGCTAGCCAGCTAGCTAGCCAGCTAGATAGCCAGCTAGCTAGCCAGCTAGATAGCCAGCTAGATAGTCAGCTAGATAGCTAGCTAGATAGTCAGCTAGATAGCTAGCTAGCTGGCTAGCTGTGAGGGTTTGCTGCATGCACCTGCTGCCTGGCGCTGCTCTCAGGGGCAGCTAAACTCTCCTGCTGCGCAGCAACACCAGCTGCAGCTGGGGGCCCCCCAAGAGGAGGCCCCAGCGAAGGGGGAGGGCCCCCAGCTGGGGCCCCCAGGGGGGCCCGGGGGCCCCCCACTCCTCCCCC